AAGCAAGGCTTCAGCAGATGACGCAGCGTGGTCAGCCAGCAAAACATGTGCCAGCCACGCATGCACGCTTTCCTTTTTCGGACTCAGTTGAGCTTCGAAGTATCTCACATGCAGCCTCTGACGCTTCCAGGCAGCAGCACTTTGGATATTTACCTCTTGTCAGCAGTAACGCAGCAATTCCCATTCATTTTTTACAGTGCCCCACGTGAGCAGTCTGCGCACGCAGCACGTCACATCTGGGGGAGGTGTGGGTGGCGATGCTTATGAGGGGTGGGTTGGGCGGACATGCTCAAGTGCGTCACTCCATATACTTTCTGCTCGGCGTAGCTCCTTGCACTCTACCTTCTTGTGCCGCCGAGGAGACACTAACTTTGATTTGACAGGGGGCTTGGGAGAGGAGGTGGAGGAGGCTTTCCGACTATGGGTAGTGCCTACCTCGCAGACCAGGCGGGCGCCTCCTCTTCACGCGACTCTTTGCTTTGTTTCTTTCGATTCATTTTCAGTGGCATCCGCCAGGCACCTTTTTGACCCGAGTCGTTCATTATCCGTAAGGGCTTCGCCCCCTGCCGCCGGCCCCCTCTCTCGGAGAATGGGCCATGGAAGAGCAGGTTTTGGACCCTGACCCCGCGGATCTGCGTGAGGGGTGGCACCGAATTTCAGAAATGTGGCAAATCCCCTGTGTTTTTGGACCCTGACCCCGCGGATCTGCGTGAGGGGTGGCACCGAATTTCAGAAATGTGGCAAATCCCTGTGTTTTTGGACCCTGACCCCGCGGATCTGCGTGAGGGGTGGCACCGAATTTCAGAAATGTGGCAAATCCCCTGTGTTTTTGGACCCTGACCCCGCGGATCTGCGTGAGGGGTGGCACCGAATTTCAGAAATGTGGCAAATCCCCTGTGTTTTTGGACCCTGACCCCGCGGATCTGCGTGAGGGGTGGCACCGAATTTCAGAAATGTGGCAAATCCCCTGTGTTTTTGGACCCTGACCCCGCGGATCTGCGTGAGGGGTGTCGATTTTGAGCCCCCCCAGCAATTCAGACAACGCGCTCAGGTGGTGCTAAAAATCTGGTTTGGGCCTCCCTTCCCTCGCGCGGTCAATCAACTAGTTACAGTAACCAGCAAGAAGCAGAACTGTAACACTGGAAACTACAAACTACAACTGGTGCAGGAAACTGCGAATCACGGGCCTACAGCCTGGTGGCCCCACAAGGGGGCTGGCGGATTTCTTCCACGCTGCACTTCACTGGTGCAGCAGGCTCCCACCTAATGTCGGTCTAACGTAACAAAAAACATTTGTGGAAGGAGGATGAAGAGGACGATGAGGAGGAGGACGACGGTGATTCTGATTCTGATGATGCTGATGATGCTGCTGCTGCTGCTGATGATGATGATGATGATGATGATAATGATGATCATGCTGATCATGATGATGACGATGGTGATGATGGTGTTGATGGTGATAATGACGGTGATGCTGATTATGATGGTATTGACGATGATGATGGTGACGAGGATGATGATGCTGCTGACGATGAAGATAATGATACTGATGATGAGGAGGATGATGAAGATGAGGATGATGCTGATGATGATGGGGATGACCGCGATGACGACGACGATCATGATGATCATCAGGAGGAGGAGGAGGAAGAGGAGGAGGAGGACAGGATGAGGAGGAAGAGGAGGAGGAGAAGGAGGAGGAGGAGGAGGAAGAGGAGGAGGAGGAGGAGGAGGACGGGATGAGGAGGAGGAAGATGAGGAGGAGGAGGAGGAGGAAGAGGAGGAAGAGGAGGAGGACCACTGCATACCCAAGGCTGGTAACGATGTTGGAATGTACCCTCCGCCCAAGCTCCCTCTTCATAGGCCCCTAATGTGATTCAATCAGATTGAAGGAAATGTCCCGTTGGGAGACGACCGTTTGAAGATCCTGACAGCGTGCCAGACACCATTCTCAAGACTTCGAAGCCACGACTCAGCCTGACTGTTGCGTCTTGACGATGCTGAATCGTGCCAGAACGCCATTCCTGGGACTTCGACTTCGCGACTCAATTCAAACGTTGCGCCCTGACAGTCCAGAATCGTTCCAAATCAACGCTTTTGTACGTTAACCATGGGATCCCGTGAAATTCTTACATTTTTGGGAAAGAATGTGCGCGACGTTACGGCTAGATCGAACTTTTGAAGAGGAGCCGCCCTCAAACCGTGACGCTCTTGCAAGTTTTTAAGACGAATGTGCGCGGCGCTATGGCGAGAGCCACATTTTGGAAACGACCCGCCGTCAGTCCGTGAAACGCTGGCGAATTTTTCAGAATGTGCGCAGCGCTGAGGCGAGAGCCACATCATGGAAGCGGGGGGCCCTCCATGTGCGAAGTTGTTGCCAATTTTTCAACTTGAGGATCATAAGTGGTAGGGAAGTCTCAGGCGAAACGCCCGGCCCGTCGGGGTGTGACAGGGATGAGTTTTTATGAGGAAACTAATGGAGGAGGAGGAGGAGGAGGAGGAGGAGGAGGAGGAGGAGGGAGGAGGGGGAGGAGGAGGAGGAGGAGGAGAAGATGAGAGGAGGAGGAGGAGGAGGAGGAGGAGGGAGGAGGAGGAGCTGAGGAGGAGGAGGAGGAGCTGAGAGAGGAGGAGGAGGAGGAGGAGGAGGAAGAAGAGAGGAGGGAGGAGGAGGAGGAGGAGGAGGAGGGAGGAGAGGAGGAGGAGGAGGAGGAGGAGGAGGAGGAGGAGGAGGAGGAAGGAGCAGGAGGGGGATGCAGAGGAGGACGTCGACGAGTGCTGTACTGGGGCGAAGAGCGGGACGGCGACGACGACGACGACGCAGACGGGGGGAGCACTAGAGCGGGAGGGCGTGCGGGACGAGGAGCAAGGGCGGAGCAGCGGCAGGTCCCCGGGGGCTGTGCGTGGGCAGCCCCCTGGAGGTGGTTCTGAGGCCAGGGGCGCCCTCAAGGGCGCGGAGTTACACGCCGGTTGTTGAAAGCACAGTGGGGGCGCGCATCAAGAAACCAAATGCATTTCGTCGGGGTCTTCGCTCCGCGCGCTGCGCGGTGACTTCCCGCAGCCGTTGAAGCTGCTGCGTTCAGGGTGCTCCAGGTTTCCCCTCAGGTGCATCTCGCGCGCGGGTTTTCAGGGTTGGTTTTCTTGCGAGTGTTTCTTGCGGCCGCGCCCGCACTGTATGATTCCCAGATCCCAATCTACTTTCGACGCCTCCCTACTTGAAGGGTCGAGTGGTTTTCCCTCGTCCCTCTCTTCAGTGGGTGGGCGGGAGCCCGATGTACTTCCAACGCCTTCCTACGTCATGCTTCTACCCACTTCTTCCGACCGACGGGTATTCGTGCTTCGCGCTTCGCGCTTCGCGCTTCGCGGCTTGGCTCCGATTCTTCGTCGTCCTCCTCTTCTCTCCTGGGGGGCGGCGCGCGGGCGCGAAGCGATTCGCGCTCTCGCGCTTCGCGCAGCGCGAAGTTAGGAGCCCTTGTGCCCTGGCTGGCCTTGGTCCGCTCACGGGGTGGTCTCGTGTGTTGTCCCATGCCAAGGGGGCTTGTCGAGGGCGGCTGGGGCTACAGCGCGGACGCCGGCTGTGAGCAGCCCGGGATGAGGGCGGGAGGAGAGGTGATCGGGGAGGGTGGATCGAATCACGGAGGGGGGAGGGGTGGAGAGATGCCGGATGGTGGGGAACGGTTTGTGCCTGACCCTTGGGCTGAGATCACGAGGAGGAGGGAGGGATATGATACAGGGACGGAGGAGGATAAGGAGGAGGAGGAGGAGGCAGGATGGATGGACGGAGAGTGGATGGATGGATGGATGGATGGATGATGGATGGAGGGAGGAGGGAGGGAGAGATGGAGGAAGGAAGAGGGGGGAGGGGGAAGGGGGAGGGGCGTCGGGACGTGGGAGTCAGGAGGGGAAGGAGGTTGGAGTGAGGGATCGGGGAGTCAGGCGGGGGAAGGGGAGGGAGGGCGGAGGGCACGGGCGCCCCAGGAGGGCGGGACGAGCGGGGTGGTCGGAAGGGGCGCAGTGATGGGTTGGGATAGGACCGATCGCGAAGCGAAGGTGCGCCACCTGAACACCAGGCACGAGCATTCGGCTCGGCTATAGTTGAGGTTACTTACATTTATGTATGTGCCACTTGCCCTCGTATGCTGTGCTTCGGACGGAGGGAGGGGGAGAAATGGGAGGGAGGGGCGGGGCTCGTGAGGGAGGGGGACCACCGGCGCGTAATACTGGGCGGGCTGCCCTACCCCCTTCCCCTCCTATGTCGTTAGCCGACCTGTCCGCCCTCCTCCACCTGCCTGGTTATGTCGTTCTCTCCCCCCCCCCTCCTCCCCCCCTTGCTTAGGATGCACCTCCTGGGAGGCTAAACTCAGCATCGGCGCTGGTATATCCGTGACTCCATAACCGCCTAATCCAGTACGGTCCTGCTCAATCCGGCGAAATCCTGTTCAGCTTGCTTAATCTGGCCAAATATTTGGCTCACTCTGGGCTAATCTGGCTTACTGGCCCCTTGATCGGCTCATTAGCTCTTAGCTGTTCCCACGAGAACCTCCCAGACTTTGCCGCTTAAACTCACTCGATCCTCGATCTCAGATCCTCGATCCTCGATCTTCGATCCCCCGCCAGACCGCTCCTCGAGGTAGACCTCGATCCTCGATCTTGGATCCTCGATCTTCCATCTCCCACCAGACCTAGATCCTCGATGCTCGATTCGCGCTTCGATCCTCGATCGGTAGATCCTCGATCCTCGACCTTAGATCCTCGATCCTCGATTCTTTGATCCTCGATCCTCGATTCTTTGATCCTCGATCC